TCCATGCCCATGGTCCAGGGCGAGTTGGGACAAGAGCATCCATGTCCAAAACCTAATGACGCCCATGGTCTAGTGCGATTTGGCAAAGCGTGGTCTCTACAGAGGCACTCGCGTAACACAAGCTTTCACTCCTTGTCCGGTCATGGCCCAGCAAGAGGCAATGCAGCAATGCTGATATGTAATGCTTCAAAAAACATGAGGCAAACAAGGTTCGATGCTGTGAGTGGGGGAATAGGTACTGGTAATAGCGGCGTTGCTCTTCAGCTAGTAAGGCCCAAGTGTAAGCAGGCCGAACTTGACAATTACTCAGCCCAAAGTACAACGTCGCGAAACATGAACTTTCGCCCTTCCAGGCCCTTGCAGATCCTGAGGCCGCTATGCTCCTGGCAACTGTTCCGTAATCCTGGTTTCCGACTGCTGCGTCTGGTTACTGAATCTGTTTCTGAATGTTTCTGAACCCAGGTGTAGTTTCCGAATCAGTCCGTTTAATTTCCGAGTCAGCCGTTCCAGTTGTCGAATCAGCCGTTCCAGTTGCCGAATCAGCCGTTCCAGTTTCTGAATCACGGCCGGTTTCTGAACCATGGCTGGTTTCTAAATCAGCCGTTCTGGCTACTGAATCAGTCGTTTCTCTTGCCGAATTTTCCGCCGACCGTCGTCGCGGAGGTGGAGGTCCTGGTCGAGCTGGTCGTCTTTCGTCGTCCTGGTGGTCCTGGTGGTCCTGGTCATGATCGTCCCGGTGCGGTGGTGGTGGTGGTCGTCGTATTTTCGGTGTGTGTGTGTGTGCGCATGGTCGATAAAGCCGCTGAACGGCTACGTGTGTCAATCAAGCATGTGTTGGGCTTCTGGGTGAAGAAACCCCAGCTAGACTCTGCGTGACTTGTGTGTGTTCTGGGCACTATGCGCCCCTCAGATGATAATGTTTGCATGCAAGACTGACAGGGTAAAACCCTGCTGCAAGTCTGCAACGATCACATTGCAGGCTGAGTTTCACACCAGCTGGGAGAGGGTTGGTCCGAAGTCTTATGCGTGAGCTCGGAATGCTCTGTAAGAATCCGCAGCACTTGTACTATGGTGCACGAGATGAAATCAAACCTTAAGTCAATCCCCCACTGCTGCGGTTGTTATCGTGAGAAAACTGGACCAGCATGTTCTTGGTCGGAAAAAATTTGCGAGGTTCGGTGCCAAAGCATGTGAAGGCTGCGAGAAAGGTGCTAGAGTTGCTCAGCGACATGTCACGTCTAGTGTGTATCTGTGGGTACGGTACTCAGAGATCCGCTGCTCACGCTTGCCGATCTTTGATTATTGGGTGTTCAGGTGAAGTCTCGTCATGTGCGGAAGTTGCATGGATCTTCAGACAGTGCAGCCACATACCATGTTCGCGGCACTTTCTGCAGAGGAAGGATCGCAATCTCGATGCTGTCACTGCAATCAACCACCCCGACCTGCCCGACTCGCCCATTTTGGAGCTAGTTGGCTCGAGCCAAGACTAATTCAAGATGGTTCGTTCTTGTTATTCTATGTTATTCTCATATGCGTGTTTATTTGATCCGTAATTGGTATTGCTATTGTTGTTGTGTTCTTGTTTTCGCACGTTTATGATAAACTCTCCAGCCATGGCCACTGAGGTTGAGGACTACAGATTTGGACGGTGCCGCAATAAGGAACCCCTAGTCGGTATAGAGCTTCAACAATAGTAGGATGCCTGAGGACCCGCTAAATAGGCCGTAAATATGTTGCCAAGCGGTTTTGTTTGTGACATTTGAGCTTCCGCAGGGGGTGGATTTTCGGGGATGTGGGGTTGTGGTGTACGATCCGCCCGCTGTAGCAAAGTCAAAACGCAGCGTTTACAGTGTATGGCGAAAATATTTCCGATTGTTTTACGAAGAGCTCAAGCAGACAGCATGCCTCTAGCAGAAGTGAAGTCATCTCTTCAAGGCCAGCAGCAAAGCTTCACTATACCTTTACGGAAGTTGCTTGCAAGATGACTTGCCTTGCTCTTTAGCTATGAAAGCACAGCCCAGTCGCAATCCCTGCCTTTTTATGTGTCGTGAGAGTGGAAACGAAATGCCAAGAGCAGATTCGAAAAGGTCAATTGGAGGTTTATGATGAGTTTCCTTCTGGTTGCTTTGGGGACAGGCATTCTGAACAGCTGCCAGATGTTTGCCAAGAATCTGCACATCATCAGTGTGTCGCCATTCTCCCACGGGCTATCCTGCAAAACCAGATCTAAGGACTACGAATTCGGAAAGCCTCAGGCCTACGAGCACCTAAAAGTCTCTTCAAGGCCTGGACTACACCCTTGATCCGACACCAAGCATCCTAAACTCCCAGCCCGTTCGTCAGACTCTGAGTCCCAACCTTTCAACTTAAAAAGTAGACCCTATGGATGTTCAACCTCGTAGGTTTTTGCCGCCAACAAGGACAATCATCAGGGACAACTTCCCACGAAGCGAAGCCATTACACCCAAGAGCCCGAAGATAGCCCTAGCCCTTGAGTCGCAATGAGCAGACCCCAAGAGAGTTCAAAAGCCCGCAGGCAGCGCTGCAGAGTGCCACGCGTACAGGTCGAGTGTCCACTCCAGCACTCACAGTGAAGCTCCGAACTCTCGAAAGAGACAGCCTCGAGTCCCTAAAACTCAGCGGTTCCGCTTTATCCCTCTACACTTCCAGACACAGAGACAAGAAAGCACAAGACTGAGCACAAGAATAGTCGAAATGAGTAACAGTCAGCATTAACAAACACACTAAAGTAGCCTGCAGCAAGAGATTGCACAGTTCGTCAAAATTCCGGAAACACATGACTGGGAAATCATACCAGCCACTGTCTTTTTCTAGGAGCTCCGAGCAGAGATCCATCGCCTTTCCTCCCGCTTGGCGGCATTGGAAGTCCGCTTGGACGAGACGCCCGGATGTGTTTGGTGTCTGATCTTTAGATGGCTTTTGGGTGTGTCGGGTTTTCGAGACTTTGACGCTTCTGTTGTATCTGGGCTTCAGACCCAGGCCGCGCGGTTTTGGTCTTGGCAGAAATTGAGTCTTGCTTGCTTGTCCAGAAGTGCTTAAGCATTCGAAGAGCTCAGAGAGGATGACCATCCGAAGGCAAAAGTATGCACAACTTTCTTTTTCGGCCCAAGCGGTTAAGAAATCAGGGGACTTCCGCTGCCCTGATTTTGGTGAAAGAATGAAAGACGGTCACCTTGCTGTCTCAGGGCTTCCGGAGTTCAATTGCTCCACCTTTTAGCTTGGAGCGATAGGTGGGAGGGACTGAGGATGCAGGCTTTCGGGCTCATGGTTGTGACGAGGTGCCTCAGTCTAACTTCGGGAGACTTGGGTGCTTCAAAACCAGGAAGGGCAATGCTGCCAGCGCCGTTGTGGTGGAACCAGAACCGACAGCCCCGCCGGCACTGCCACTGCCAAAGGCAGAGGCCAGGATTTAGCCTTGGCGCTTTAGGGATCAGGCTTTCGGCTTTCAAGTGCTCGGCTCGTTTACGGGATGCTGGCTCCTTTGATGTGCTTGTCAGTTAGACGCTTGAGCAGCCTGCTAGTACAAGAGCAGACTCTTGCTGGATTCAGTCGGCCAGGACGCTGATGTCGCAGAAGAGAAGCCAGTTCAACTAGCTGAGAGCGCTTGGAGTCTTAACTGCGACAAAATGAAGTGTCATCAAGACATGCGACGCCGGAGAAGTTGAACTGTCGGACCCTGACTAGCGCGGCTTGTTCTGAGCGATGCCGAGATGTGCGTGACGGAGGCGGGGGTCCAGAGGCAATTTTGATTTGCAAGCACAGTGATACAGGCAGGGCATGTCAACCAACTGCGCTTTTGATGAGACCTCGGTTTGTTTGTGAGATCTGTGTATGCCGGAACCCCGAGTGATGATTGGTGGGCCTGCGACATCTGAACACAGAGTCTCTCACCTAGAACATGGGGATGACGTCGCAGCCTTGTTCCACGTCCCGCTCTCAAGACTGTGCAGGGACTTTGCAACGGCCGAGGAACCTTTTTGCCGTTGTGGGGCTCACGGACGCTGGATGGCTGGACGCGCTATTTTCCGTTCTGATCCTGCTTGCGAGCCTCGCAGCTATCTCATTTACTTTAGGAGATGCTGTAGAAACGAGAAGTGCTAGGGCTGTGTGAGGCATGCTGGATGTGGGGTCAGGATATCAAAGTCCAGAGCCGTTGCATGCAGGCACCCATGCATCGTCATCCTCTCCTCCTTATCGCTTTGCCCCGACCCTCACCTCCTCCTCCTCATCATCATCATCTCTTGGTGCCTTCAGCAATTTACTTTCATGGCTTTACAGAGTATCTGTCAGTCTGAATGCCACTCCTCTGAGTGAGGAATGTTATTATGCAGACCTTGCCGCTCGGCATCTTTGCACTTGAGTTGAGAAGAGGTCGATTCCATACTGTGGCTGCCAGCCTCGCTTGATCTTTGCCCTCAGGGTCCAAGGGCCCAAACTTCTCGCCTAGCTCTAGACCGTGCGTCCCCATAATGTGAGCCAAGAGATGCCACACTCACCGTACACTCGCACCAAGCCTTAAACTCTCAGAGCAAAGGTTCATCAACATTCTGTTCAACAAAAGCTTCCTTGGAGATCCGTTTGAGGACGCTTTGGGGTCTGGGCCTGGGAGTCAAAACGAAGCCCAGGTTGGTTCAGGGTGCTCTTTCAGACTGTATGGGAAGGCACTGTTGCATGAGGATCTCAGAGAGCCATTCAGTCCCAAATGCAACTCGGCTTGCTAGTCCATGGTGAAGCTCCCTGTCAGACCAACGTGAAGAACACGAGAATCTGGCGAACAAGCTTGGCACACTCCTTCAGGCAGCTTCGGGCAGGGTGAGCTTTGGAGATTGCCTGATATTGACTGCTTGGGCCGCACTCGTTGATGCCACATCTCTTTATAAAGGGCTGCTGCTGTGCCACTGCCCCCTTTCTTCGATGTTTCCTTTCGCCTGACAAGGCACATCTGTGTTCTCAGCTGTTGAAGCCGGAATGAGAGGTACATGGACCTGTCGCAGACGAGCCTTGTGACCCGCGTCTGCGATGAAGACAGCTCCCTCCTCGTCGCCTCCACGCAGGCCTGGCCAGAACAGAGTAAAGATAAGAGTGCAATTGAACATATCCCACTCCCGCCCTCCCGCCCTGCCCTCTGCTTTCCTGTACATTTAAGAGCACCGCCGTGAGCCCAGCTGCTTTGCTCTGCGAGGCCAAGTTGCTCTCGGACATCAACAAGTTCCTGGCTGCACCCTCGCCTTCCCGAATTTGGCTTTCCCAAAATAAGCTTTCTCTTCGAAGTTCTCCTGCAGGAACCCTCAGAACTAAAGCTTAACTAAGTATGCCACTTCGGCAACCCGCAAGGTTCCTGGGAATACAGAAAACTGCCTTCGAAGCCACCTTCGATCAGCCAGGCCCAATTGGACGGGTGTTGCAGAGTGTAGCGGAGAGCGTAGCGCCTCTTCCTGTCCCCCTTGGTAAATGCCCCTTGGCCTTGTCTTGGCCTTGGCCCTTTGCAAGGCGTCACACTTTGCATGCTGTGCATCATCTTGTGGATCCTTGGCATTTGTCAGAGTGTGGAGTGTCTTGTGTCTTGTGTCCAACTGTGTGCCATTGACCTCCAATACTCAAATGTACAGCAGGCATGGGCCACAATCACTCGACCAGGTCGCCTACAGAGTACTTCTAATTCTGCGGATGCAAGCCTGAGACACCTCACAAAAGGTGACAGCATGTGACAGTGTGCCTTGCATCGCTGGCCCAGGAACCTTTGCGTGTATCGCGAGCTTCGAAACATCTGGCTGAACCTGCAGGCAGTGCTTGGATGCACACATCTAGTTCTCTGCTGTATCGGCAAGCCTCAGCTAGGGGACGGAGACCAGGGAGACAGCCCGGAAAGAGCGTGGGATATTCGGCCTATCGACCTTGCTCTTCTGTGGATTCGTGGGATACTTATTGACCAGGCGGTGATGCAGCTGCCGCGTGCACAATCCACGGAGCTGCACCAGGGAACCTTCAGAAGTCTCTCTTGCTCGCGGTTTCTCGGAGTTAGAGGATCCGGTCGTTGTGGCTGAAACAGCATGAGTAGTGCAGTTAGATCTGAGAAGCTTTTGCTGCAGCACCTTCGCGGCTCTTTTCATCCTGGTCTTCTCGGGAGAGTTTGTTGTCGCCAACTGCGAGCTTGCCATGCTTCTTACATCGTGTTGCTTTCCAGATACATGCAACTCACCATCCCACCCAGAAGCGCACCAAATTAGCCTCAAAGAGCGCGCTTTCGAAATTGCTGAATTCTTCGCTGAAGTGATTTGAACTTTGAGGTTTTCCATCATTGTGACGGCCTACCTGCTTCGTGGTGCACTCGCAATTGCACTGCTGGTCGGTGGAACGCTGCTGTGCTTCAGTTATGGTGTGTCAGCGGTGGATCGGAGTTTCAGCAGCGCATCTTTCTTGAAATACGAAAGCTAGAATTATTAGAAGGGCCAGGAATATAAAGCAAGGTGCCAACCCGTTTCTGTTTCATCAAGCGTTGATACGGCAATAAGCTGCTACCGTAGCTGAGGCATTTTTTTAGCATGCCGTGAACCCGTCGAGAGCTTTGGCCCACCTAGTAGAACTGAGGCAGTGGCTGGGGCGCACCACCTCCATTGCCGCTTTGATTCTGATTGTCATGGCAATCATGGCGACGATGGTGGTGGTGCGTGCTGTTACGATGGTGAACCATCTTTATCCAGTCTCAGCTTCGATTGTTGTAGTCTTTCAGACTCCAGCGATGAGCTAGGTGGACCTGATCCTGAATGCCGTGGCTCTGAATGGCATCTTGGACATCGACGAGTTCCTTTTCGAGGCTGCCGTGTCGTGATTACGGCGAAGTTCTCGATAGGCAGTTCCAAAGCTGGGCTTCCTGCCAAAGCCCGGCGTCTGCCTGGGCAGGCTGCAGCTCAAGCTAAAGGCCTCCCACAAAAGGCTTCAGATGGCGATCAGGGATGAGAGCGTGGGCGATCGGAGGTCTTCAGAAGCCGCGAAGCCTGAAGGCTCAAGGGGGAAGGAGAATTGCAAAAGATCGCTGCGTGGAGGCAATGGTGCCCACGAAGATCCAGTTGGCGATCCAGAAGCCACTGGGAGTCAGCGAGTTACTGCACTATCGGGTTAGCACATGAGGGCAGGCAAGCCGTGTTGCCAGAACTTCAACAAGTCGTTTTGGGATCTCTGCTCAAATTTACTCGTTTTGAGAGCTACCGATCCGAGGCTGCAGCCGATACAGCTGAAATACACGAAAGGGAAGAGCCAGGTGGAGTCGGCCCTTTGGCGCTTGAGTCCGGAATAGATCTGCTCCGAGCTGGCGGCTTGTACAGGCAGAAAGCAAGCGATCCTCAGGCGCAGCCTGAAGCCTCCAAGCCTGAGGCTTTCAACTTCACGATGTTGCTCATAATGCTCTTGGTGCCTTACCTAGTGCTCATCGTGCCGCTGACCCAGAGACGCCGGGCAAAAAGAAGTGAATCCGAGGACATCGCCTTCGTTGCAAGGCTTGGAAGTTCGCCGGTTGCGGGGTTTGAAGCGCACAACCATCCCAGGAATGCTCGAAGTGAAGCGGGAGATGTGCTTCGGCATCCAGAACTTCGCTGCTCGGCTCGGGTCTTCGGAATGTCTTTGCACATTGTCGCGTGGGGGCGCGTGGAGGCTTTTGCCATCAGCAAAACAAGGCTAACTGCCGTGAGTGCCGTGCTGCTTTCAGCTGGTCCATTGGGCTCAGAGCGATAAGACTTTCCGGGCACCCCAACCTGCAGCGATTGTAGACAATCGCCTGTTCATCAGGCAAGGATGCATAGTCCTGACTGAGGTGATGAAATCTGAGTACAGCGCTTCAACTCAAATCTGCAAGCCATCGGCCGACTAACAATGCCTTTATCCACCCTGAAGACGTTGCTCCAAAGGCAGTTGCCTAGGAGGCCTTCAAGTGACTTTCTGCAGCCGAGGTCGTCGCCTACAATTCCGATGCACCTTGCATGCTTGAGGGCTGCAAGCTCCAGCATCGAAGGGCTCGAAAAATCTAGACACGTTGAGACGCAAAAACCCATCTAGAGCCGAAGCAGCGCATGACAGAGTTGCGTTCTGACCGCAATAGACTGACTTCGAGCAGTGCTTGGCAACCCGTAGTCTAACATGTAGCCTTCAGGTCTACCCACAGATAATTCATGGTCGTTCGTGACCGGGTGGGTCAACAGAGTTTAGGGTGTAGGGTTTGGGCTGGGCGCTCCAGCCCGGGCATTTCGGTTCTGACGCATTACCAATGGAGCCCGAAGGCAATAATTTCGTAAATGGAAACAGAAGCAATGCTTCTGGAAATTTCAGTTCAGTTCAGATGCATGAGATCGAGTCGAGAAGCTGTCGTTCATGCGAGCATAGCACCATGGAAGCCGCACTCAAAGCCATGATAAGCACCACGTTAGCATGTCCATCTTATCAGAAGGCGTTGCAGTACTTCGCCACGATATGCTGGCAACGACCAGAGGACGTCACAGTGACGCAGAGAACCAGGAAGGAGCCAGTGAAAGAGTGCTGTAGCATTCAAGGTCGGAATGGCCTACGGGCTCATGACGAGCGAGAAGCGCTTCGTGAACGCGCTGACCTTGGCCGAGGTGGAAGCCTATGATAGGTTCTGCAGGCGTGTTATCAGCGGCGGTCAGCATTGGGGTCCTGCCAAGGGTATCCAAAGCATAGGGTCGTATCTGAGTTACGTACCCTTACACGGAGCCGAAACTTTCGCAGAGAGGCATCCCATCGACAATCATCGACATATCTTCAACATGCATCGAGCTGCTAATTCCGTTTCCTAATGCTTAGACATTTCTCAAGCAGACAGAAAATGTACCGATTGGTAAGTAGGTAAATAGGTCTTACCATTCAGTACGGCCACCGTGTTCCTCCAGATTTGCGGTGTCCCTTGGATCCTGGTATATCCCACGGCCGCATGAACCAGCATTAGGAACGCTTGCCATACATAGGTGAATGCACCATGCGCTTAACTCTTCTCATTGACACGACCTCGCCTTGATTTTAAGCTCATCGAAGAGGCATTGCGCGAGACCTTATGGAACAGGGGCATGCTTGATGACCGGAGCATTGCTAGAAGTAACACCAAGTAAACGCGAAGAAGCGAAGTCTGCGGTTTTGATCCTTGCACTGGTCGCAGGAGGCCGTGAACGAATACAAGTTCAAGCTGGACGGGCCCTGGAAGCCGGCGCTTCGGATGCTGTGAGCTTGATGACACCTTTTCAGAATAAAACTGTTGATGTCTTACTGCGGGTACTTTGTGGGGAGCTTATTCATAGCTTACAGTGTGTGGCGGCAAAGCATGGCGCCGCAGCCTTCCTGTCAAGTCACAAGTAGTAGCACTTGAAGTGGTCCTCCAATCTTGCTAATCGCTTCATACTATCCTTATGGCCCCCTATATTCATCATTTTCTGATCCAGAATCGCCGCCGGAGTCTCAGGCCCAGCCCAAACTCAGTTGCATCCAGCACTGGGCTTGGCTCTCTGGGTTTGTGACTTGCAGATTCATATAGGACTAGGGGCTTGTATCGGGTTGATACAGGTGTGACCTAGGTGGTCACATTGGCTTCACCACAGGTTCGGGGTGTAGGGCTCGGAACGTGGGGAATTGCAAGAACGTCGGAGTGCAAGCAAATGCTGGGCATCCACCAAAGTGACCATGCGACCTGCTGTTTTTGCCTACGTGAATTACGCCTCAAGGCTCCTTAAGCATGCCACGGTGTATCGACTTTCAACACATCAAATGCCGCTACTACTACTAGTACTACTA